CTGGTACAGTAGGAACCAAGACCATAATCACTCTTCTCTCTCTTTTTTTTTTTTTTTTTTTTTTTAAATACTGTGTGTGTCCCGGTCCTTACTGTATCATGTAATTCACACAAAAATGTAACAGTTACTTCTACAGCAATGTCTTTTCTATGCTACGAAAACTAGAGTCCTGAAACAGATTTGTATTACAGTTACCTCAGAATTTCAAATAAATGCACTCACATTCCATATTCGAGACGCAAATTACGCCTTGACTGCACTGGAAAAACCTTTTGTTTACCTCCTATCTTTTATATACGTGTTTTACACAGAATTTAATTTTACTTTGCAGAAATCTTCTATTCAGTGTCTTCCATAACACAGACAAAATATTTAATAAAGAAATTACTAAAAAGGCTTGAAAAAATAACTGTAAATAGAAAAGCTTCCCACATCCTCTAACATCACAACTTAGGATGAACTTCAAATTTATCATCTCTCTATGCAGATACTTATATTAAAGTTATAGATTTAGGAGTCATTAGTAGATTTAATATCATTTCTTCTATTTTACTATCACAGAAGGTACTACCTTGGTACAGAGAGGAAAAAGTAAACTACAGCAAACTATTTATGTGTACAGGACCTTCCTCTCTTACTTGACCCTATGGAAAATAAAATTTGGTCCAGCATTCTTGCTAACTATCAGAAATTTTCACTTCATTGACAAATTCCAACTATACCAGATGGGCCTCACTGGAGTAGACATCCTCTTTCTCTTCCAACTCCCTAACTTTTGGCACACAGCATTCAAAAGCTAGCTTGCCAAGTCAGCAGATGATTTTAAAACATTAAACAAAAATATTTGATCTAGATTTGCATTTTTTAATAATACAAAAATCTTTAACATTACTTTAAATATTTTTATAAGCAGATGTATTAGTTTTTTCCCCTCCTTTTAAGAAAAAATCCTGCAATATAGGCAAGGTGACCTGTTAAAATTTGCTGCAGCATTCCAGTGAAAAAGAACTGCTTCATAAAAAAGGGACTACAAAGCACACCTTTTTTTTTTCAATACACCATGTACCTTTTGCCTCTACTAGTCATTTAGTATTTTAAAAGCCCTAATAATACCGAACTTCAAAATCCAAATCTTTTTCCTTCATCACTTTCTCGTACACAGTCAGACTCTCTCAGCCTGCTTCCCCTCAAGGTAACTTCCCTAGCACAGGGATTTCAAGCCTATTTCCCAGGCAAGTCTAATTCCCTCCTCCCTTGTCATACGCCTCAGCCTTTCCCTTGGTTCTAGTGACCTGCGAAGCCAACTCCCCTTCTTCAAGGAAGGGGTAAAAAACACTTCCACTCCAGTCCTCCACAACCTTCTATGTAGTGACTAAACCTGGCCTCCAGGAGCCTGAAGGAATTAGCTCTACACTTTAGAGAAATATTAGCTCAAAAACCCAGAACAAGACAGAATTAGGGAATAAAAGTTTGTTTTTTTTCCCTTTAGTCTAATCAAGGAAACACTTTTTCTGCTTAGGCCTTGAACTATGGACTTGCAAGTATGCCAAAATTTCTCTTTAGCACGCAACGCAGGAGGACAGAGCAGGACATCTCCTATGCTTTACGTACCATAGGATGCAATTTCTGACCTAAGCACAGCTTCCTTGCTGCATCATTAGCTCAAGCACCATGCCAGCTCCGCAAATAGGGCACTCTCAGGCTTCCAGGGAAAAGCTCCAGAGCTGAAGTGCACTTGGAAAGAAGTAACAGGACACCTTTGATACTAAGGCCTAAGGCCTCACAATAGCCTTGCAAATCGGGTTAAAATGCCAGAGAGGACAACTGAAGTACTCTGTACTTCAAAAAGATACAGAATTTAAAGGCTCTTGCCAAGACTAAAGACAGAGTTAAAATTAACTCTGTTCCAGGCTTGCTGTACACATAGCAGCAAATTGATATTTTAGGCTACATCTTCATGTAGCCATGACCTCTTCAGCAGCCACAAATAGCATATTCCAAACCAAATGTTTATGCTAAAACTTGTGCATGCTGCAGAACATGCAACTGTTACAGCCTTGTGCTCTGTAATTCAGCACACACCTCAACATCCATTGCTGCATTGAGAGGAAAGTGGATAAATTAAATGAAGAAGAAAACTAGAGAAAGATGAAAAAAAAAAAAAAAAAAAAAAGCCACATGCCTGGCTCAAGAAGGCCCAGCAGCACAAGATGCTGGAGACTGGACATAGCACATGTGTATCCTTTAGGAACTTCTGCCCGGACTTCTGCCTCTGGCCACCAGGCTAGGTGAAAATTTGTGTTGACTAAATATGGACATTCTTAAGTATCCAAATAGGCATGTCTGTTATGCCCCTGTTATACAGTCTTAGGTATTATACATATGAATCAGACATTTAAATCTGAAAAAAGAAAAACATTTATGATCCATTAAAACATTTTCCATCAAAATGGTTTTTCAGATTAATACGTTAAGTGATAGCATCTGCTCTCTTGATTAATTCCTGCAACTTTAATTTCTTGCCTGAATAAGAATACAAATATTATGCTCACACACAAACACACACTCTATTTTACTTGAAAATTTGGATGCTGTCCTGTACAAAAGATCTCCCCGTCCTGTGTGGGCCGGCTGCAGCACTACCCTCTACAATTCACGGGTTAGCCTGACCATATTTCAAAGCCGAAGCTTTGTTCTTCGTTTTTATCAGGTCTTTAAGAAAGGGTAAGATGTATATCTGTGGTCAAGGCACGCCTGCGCCATGAACAGCTCAACTATCCTACATGAAAATCATGTGCATTAGCATTTCAAAACTTAAGGCTACCTTTATAACTACCTTTCTAAAACCATAGCCTTAATAACTGAATGCCCATTTCATCCAAAAGCACCCGCACTCCATGCTTTAGCTTCATCGATGGCAACGCATAACACAGTATATTAACATCAGAAGAAAAATGGAGGACTACCACCTTCTTAATTTCTGTAACTGCAGCAGAGTGACAACTCCTGCACAGTTATTTAGGAGATTTGGCATATTCATCATTCTTAAGTACAACTGCTGGTTACTTGCCAAGCTTCCAAGCTTTTTTTTTTTTTTTTTTTTTTTTTTTTTTTTTGCAGATTAGCAAAAGCAACTCTTGTGCTTCCCACAAGATCCACTGCTTCCCTATCATATTCTTTCAATACCTGTTGGGTGGCGGGAAACAGGAAGGAAATCAAAAGATGCTTGATCAGCTTTACTGGTTCTTGGAAAACTGAAGACATTTGTGTTTAGCCATGTTTGAGAGAAAAAGCAAGACAATCCTGGTCAGTGGGAAACTGAGAATTAAGTTCTTAGGAAGAAAGAAGGAGACCCAAGGAAAGAGAACAGCATTCCAGCTGTCAGAACGAATAAAGACAGAATTGCCATGGTTGCAGCAGCGAATAGGGAAGGGATCCTCACCACACAGGGACAAATTCAGACCCCAGTTTGTTTCCCAAGTTTACAAGGTTGTCAGGAGAGGAAGGCTTGGGGAGAACAAGGTGTCCAAAGGGAGGCGAACATGTGGTCTCAGGGCTATTTCTGATATGCACACTAGGCAGAGAAGCTATCCAGGACACACTTGAGATGGACAGCAGGCACATGAGAACAGTTTACATTGGTGTCCCATCTATCGTTTGTACTGCAAGATGTTAAAGAGAAGAACCAACCTCCCCCAAAAACACAAATCCACAGTTTATCGGGATGGTGAAGCACTGAGCTGCTGCCTTCTTAAATCCAAAAATTGACACCCTTTTCGATAGACAGCACACTCTCATCAGTCACTGACAGGCTACTTGTATATATAAGATGAGGAGTTTGCCAATACCAGAAGTCAGAAACTCTTTTACTGCTTTGGAATCCAATTCCTTGAGGACTTCTGTGTGGGAAACAGTTAATCCTTTTCATAGTTCTGATTAGGACAAAAGAGATGACTTACTTAATTGCAAAGCTCAAGGACAGTGCTTTTTAGGAAAGACCAAGAACCACTTGTACCAGGAACAGAGCAGTAACAATCAAGTCACTTTGTTACACCGTAAATGCTATATTTACTGTACAGAAATAAAATAACAGTTGAACCACAGACTGGGCTACAGCAGACAGCGAAGGAAAATGACAGTATCTGCATGACTGCAATATTTGTATTACTAAAAAGCAGAACTTTTAGTCTAAAATTTCAGCAAAACTTTTATTCTTACTCTGCAACAGGTCCTCTTAACTTCCCTTTGAGTCAAGGCAAGCCTATTACATTCTCACCAATTCAGCATGTGATTCAATATACTTTCTAAAAACGAACCACAAAAACAAGTCTGATGACAGTTTAAGTTATTTCAATTTCCTCACAGTGGCACAGAGCTGCCGACTTGACCGAACAGTACCATTAGAAACCCCACATGCACAGCGCTCGGCTGACAACTTTTCACAATCTATCAAGCACTCCAACATGCCAGGAACGATGGAGTTTGAGAGTCACACACGTGAGCTAGTCACTGCCCAATGTCACTTACTCACCCCCAAGATGAAGGTTCCCAGCCTCACAGCAGAGATGGCAAAGCAGTCAAAGTCCTACTAGAGTTTCCAAACTGCATACTATAAACCAGCAACTTTCAACTGACACCAAGAAAAGAAGGTCCTAAAAATTCTACAAATGTTTCTGCAAATACAACTCTCCTCTATAAGAGCCTCTAAAAGTAATAAATCTGTGCATATGCATAATTAAGAGCATATGAAAGCACTTCACCACAACAGGCTTTCAGTAATGAAACTCAAAGTACAAACTCCTTAATTTGGTAGGTAGAACAAACACACACTACAAACAGACCATTAAAGAGAACCTTTTGTGTAAAGCAATGATTTAGACTAGCAAATTAAGATTTATTAGATTTAGAGTTTCTAAGAATAATACTTTCACTTGTAGCTTTTTTATAGTCATGTGAATTTGCCTTTTAGCAACCCCAGTATAATAAGTGAAGTGACTTACCATTCTTGCTGACATCCAGTTCCCTGAGATTAATGAGATTTGCGATGGATGCTGGCAATGTGGTTAGATCATTGTCTGGCAAACTCAGCTTGTGCAGAGACTGACAGTTAAAAAGTTGCTATCGAAACAAAGAAAAAAAGTGAACGTGATTTACTCCTAGTTTCCTCTATATATCTTTTGTTATTAATCCCCTTAAACTTCTGACCTCAAAGCATGAAGGCCAGACCGTTCAGAGTCTTTCACTACAGAAAGTTCATCTGACAATTAGTTCACTCAAAATTAACCAAGTTTACAATGCTTAGGACAGCAAAAAAACTGCAAAAATTCACAGCAAACCAGTGGCTGTGTTTAGTATTTTCTATGAACCCCTTTCAGTATCGCAGAAACTAGACTGCAGTCATAAATAGTATGAAGTATTGCCATAAAGTTACTTTAGATAATATCCAGAAATTGAAGTTTGTTTAAGAAAAAACAAACAAATAAGAAACTCCACCATTTTTTAAAAAAGTCTTAGCATTCTGGAATATGGCATTGGAGTAGGGACCGATCATTTCTAACAGAAGTTAGAAACTTTTTGGAAGATGAAATGGAATAAAACCATTACACTATACTAGGCTCTAACTCAAGCATACTAAAATTCAACAAAATTCTAATGAATACTAGTGTAAGTATTATCTCAGAAGACAGAAAACTCTACACAATAAATTCTATACATATTTATTATAATAATTTACATATAAGTATATACATACACACACATCTAGTTTCAACTCATACGCTTTTAGCCCTGTTCACTTTAAGAGCATGAATTTTCATAGATGGCTTCTCATGTGCATATAAGGGAACTTTCTCCAAAGCACTCAATTCATCTTCACTGGGATCCAGGTCTTTGATCAATTAAGGTAATACACTGAAATAGCTTTATTTGCTTATTAGTTTCAGTTATCTTTACTCCCAAAATATAGCACAGATGGGAGCTGGTTATAACCAACTTTCTAACAGAGCAAACCACAGCCATTCCCCATGGCCATGGGGTTTTGTACATAGTTATTACAAATCAATTTTAAATATTAATTACTATCTTAATTCTATCAAAATAAGATCTAGTAGCGCAATGCTACGATCACTTTGTACTCCTCAAGTCTCCCTGACGTCAACTTCCATTCTCTTCAATAGTGTACTGTTAATTCAGCACAGTGTGTCTTCCAATTTCTGAAGTAACAATAAATATAGATTTATTAACATGTAATGAAGCTGATATTCTAGCTCACAAACTTTGTTAAAAGCTCACTGTTCCAAAGTAAAATGTGAAACTAAGTGCATAAATTCCTTAGACTGTAGCTGTCTGTTGTGGGCACAGAAGTCCAAACAAGATATTGAACACGCTTATTTTATCTTCATATATTATTGAAGCTTCAAAATAACACCACAATTTGTGGCACACCATCAGTCAGTATCAGGAGACACGCTACAGTAATAAGTTACCCTGCCTCTTCTGCTATGCACTACTTTCTCTTGGGGTGGATCAGTTTCTGTACAAGCCAGTACAGCAGACTGGTCCAGCTAAAATGCATAAATATTCTTCTTCCCACGACTGCTTCTGCTGGGACCAAAAACAACTTAAGAGCATTTAGCAAACTGCAACCTGAAAGCTGAAATAAGAAGCTAGACCCAACCAGGCCCTACCCAAGCAGATGAAGTAATAGAGTTAAAATGCACCATAAAATGAAAACCACTCAACATACCTTTGGAAGCTCTTCAATCTGATTAGCATCTAAATAAAGTTCCTCCAAGGTCTTTTCAAAAGTGAAAATCTCCTTAGGCACCTGTTCCAGGCTGCAGTGAGAATAATCTAGTGTAGTGACTGTTTCTTCCTCTCCACGCAGACAGCGGCATGGCACCAGCCGCACAAACAAGTTCCGCTTCGTTGTCATCTTCAGGCACTGTAAAGAAGAAATTGATAGATTTAAAAGCCTACAAGATAGTTTCAGAAGTATCTAATTAGGAATTTTCTCAAACTTCCCATGGCTGGCAGGTATCTGGAAAGAAAAAAGTGTGTATAGAGGGTGGTGTGTGTGTATACAAGTAAATATATAAAATATATATAATAAAATATATACATAAAATATTTAACTGCTCATACACATGCACATATATAAAAAGTATGCAAGTGTATGTGTGTGAGCCTATGTAAGCACTTCTAATACAACACATCTTCACTACTGCATTAAATTTGACTTAATATACCTTCAAATTCTTATGGATTCAGTCAAAATTTAGCCTGCAATTTGTCACCTGCCAGCACAGCACTATACTACACAGAAGCAGAGTTTTGAATCAGCAGTTACTAAATGTCAGTCCTATGCATTTATGACATATCTTCTTATTCCTACCTTTATGAAGGCGATATCAGATGGTATTTTTGCTTAAAGCAATAATATCCACCTTCTAAGGAGCATTACAGCTGAGCTAGAAAAAAGGTTAAATTGAAGCAACTAGTAAGATAAAATTCATATCCCTTAATTTTAAAACCCTAATTTAAAGACAGAATATAGCAGAGAGAGGAAACATGGTTTCAATAAATTCACCTAACTACAGCTTAAAAGAAAAGGTTTCCAAGAGTTTGGGTAAGAAAAAAAAAAGTTCCTTCAATTTCATACAATACCATTCAGTTTGTAAAACTTTAGCAAATTACACTGCGCACACTGGAACTAATTGACTTTCATTTGCTATGGAGATGGACTTTTTCCCCGTCTCTACATTCAGTGATTTCTACAATTTTCTCCTCTTCCCTCCAAGGCTCCTACGCAGCAGGAAACAACAAGTATAAACGGTGCGACCTGATTACCCACCACCAGTGAACACCTGCCATGTTCTACCTCTTCCCCTCAGCAAGGGCACAAGTTTATGTCCCTCTCCCTTTGAGCAAAACTTAGAGAAGGAATCATCTTCAAAATGTCACCTCAGTTTCAAGTTTGGCATAAATCATCTTAGAACTTTTTGAGGAAGAAGCAATATACGTATATAAGCAATAAGATCATGTAAGCTTAATTTTCTCAGGAAACTAGGCTAAAAAACAAACAAACAGAAAACCTACAAAATACCAATGAATGATTATTCTTTCCAGCTCAAATATTCAGATTAATTCCAATTTAAGATATGCACATTTAAAACAAACAAACAAAAACCCCACATTTTTAGAAACGCAAAATTTAAAGCCCATCTCTGAGCTTGGTGAAGGACAACATTCTTCTCTGAACACCAAAAAGACCCTTCAGATGCATCTGGCAGACGACACTTGAACACACACAGAATATAGCCAGCAAACAGCAGCACAAGGAGAAAATAACAGGGCCACTGTATTATATAATACGAGTCACGAGTTGCAGGCAGTCCTCAAGCTGCAGGATACTTTTTTTTTTTTTTAAAGCTCTAATGCACTTGGATTTTTCCTCCTTCAGCAGCTAGCTTGGCAAGTACCTGTCATAGTATGTATAATTTATATGACAACATGTTTTCCTATACTGCATATACTGATATACGAAATACTACTGTACCTCACAACTTTGAATAGTAAGATGACTATTACCATTCGCAGGGTACAGGGTACATTTCACATCCATCCATTAAAACTATGGAAGAAAGCTCTGAAACAGCCATCGACAATTCTGCTTCTTACAGTTGCTTCAGCTTCTGATAAGTATGTTTCAGTATACTGGAAACATGAATCAAGAAACAAATGCCAGAGTGGCATCATGGTGCTGGGTCACATCACAGAATGGATCGGGCTGACAGAGATCTCTGGGAGCACCTGATCCAGCCCCCTATTCAAGGATGGCTAGCTTGAACAGGTTGCTCAAGGAGCAGGACCACGTTCCATCATGTTCTGGAGAGCTCCAGGGATGCAGGAAGACTCCATAGCCTCTCTGGGCAACCTGCTCCAGTGTTTAACCACCCACACGTCTAGTCAGCTACAGGGTCAGCTTTAGTAGCTATACTCACAGCTTATAGCCAAAGGCAAAACAGTAAAAGCATAGTTAAGTAGCATGACTTTGATCAAACTGAGCATACGTTTATTAGAACGCTTCAAAAAACAGAACGAAGCAAAAGACACACGTTTAAGTAAATGCGGGGAACCACGCTGCGCGCTCCAGTCCAAAGCTGCCCTGCACAGGTTCCCATTTCCAGAGGTGGGTTTAGAGGGGCGCTCCTCGGCAGGGAGGGCTGGCGCAGGAGGCCACGCGCGGCAGGACGGCGCGCGAGGATCCCACGGCCACGGCGCAGCTCCAGGTCCGGAAAAGGCGCCACAGCCTCCCTGCGGCTTCCTGCCGGCCACCGGCCTCGGCGAGAGGCGCCCTCGTGAAAGAGAGCAACGAGGCACTGAAGAACAGAGTCTAGCATTATAACCAAAGGCAGCAAAACATGATGTTGCACAGAACATAAGCTTCACCCTGGACAGTTTGGTAACTATGGAAAAGACAGAAGGGAAAGCACAATATAACACTGTTTCTCTTCTACAAAAAAAAGGAACTCTACCAATTGAGAGAAAAATCTTAATTTCATCGTGTACCATAGCATCAGACAATCTGAAAGCATTAAACGAAACAACGCTTACAATTTATCTTTCTCTATCACTGAATACACCCACATTTTTCAGAACCAGATCTACTAAAGAATTCAGGAAAGAAACAAACTAAACTACCACATCCCCCAAACCCTTGACACTAATTTACCTCAGGTTCTGTTTACAGCCAAAAGAGGAAATCAGGTGCAGATACATTTATCTTATTTCCAGAGGTGGGGGATCACTCTTCAGAGTCAGAAGCTTTTATCTGTAATCATTAGAGGCTCAAAAATCAACAGGCCTAAGGGAAGAATCAGTTGGATTCTGCTTGTAAAAACTTAATCTACCATGCTACAAAATTCAATGTTAAAAAATACACACAGTTTGGTTAGATATGTTAGCTAATTATAAACAATCAGATTTCTAGTTGCTCTTTTTTGCACTATGCACCACCTTTAGCGTTAACCTAAGACACTTCATACCTCTTCCTTCTCCCACAAGTTTATTCAAGGATTATGCCTAAACAGAGAGTCTGGCACCTCCAGGACAGTTCAAAAAGGAATAGGTAGTTCAAACTAGACAGATGTCTCTTTCAATCAAATATTGAAAGATGTCTCTTTCAATCAAATATAGGTCTTCGCACATTTACACTGTGGTACTACTAGATCAGAAACTCATTCCACAACTATTATATAAAATGGGACTAAAAACAAGAACAAAAGTCTATTTACCCATCTATATCCTGCACTCTAAGGGTAATGATGCATATGCTGATGGGTTTTCCTCTATTGGTTCCATAGTAGTGAAGACTAATTATTCTGGCCAGTCTCTTATGAGAAACTTGTTTTCTTCCCATAAAAAAAACAAGCAACAACAACACAACAACAAAAAACCAACCAACCAAACAAAAAAACCCACCCAATCAGCACTTACCCATGACAACTTGAAAAACAAGGAGATAAGCCATCACAATTGAAATAAACACTTTTTTCTTTTATATAACGTACATCAAATCTTTACCTTATCATTTATGCATATATCAGAGTATGTTTGAAAACTGTGAATGACTTGAGAGCTGTTTCAAATTTTAAAAGTGGCAAGGAAGGCCAAAACTGATCAAAGAGTAGCCTCTGATCACATTTTTTTGTTTAAGCAGGCCAAAATGTCTATCACATGTGCACGCCCACACCCCCCGTTCTCAGTTTTGAAAATGCCGGTTCACTATCTCCCATAGACTATCCACAACCACGCACCACTGATTAGGCTACAGTTGTTAATATAGGAAACCCTTCAACTACTTCATCAAGAACTTATAAAAAGCTCGACACGTTTTCATTGCTGTTGATGAGCTGGCAATATAGTTTGAAAAGACACATAAGCCTACTGTGGAATTTTTCAGGATTTTAGAGCTTTCAGTTCGGTTCTTCTGCCCTCCCTCCTCCTTTTTGTGAAGTAATCTCCCATATTTCCCACACCAATATTCCCAAAGACAAGTCTTGCAAATAGCCAGGTCTTTAAAACACCACGCATGCTCTATTCACTGGTAGAGGAGCACTGCAAATACTATGGCTATTATTTAAACACACATGCAAGGCAGACAAGAGGTAGAAAGTGAGACACAAGCCATAATTCAAAATTAAACAGACTGAAGTCTCGCTTGCAATTACAGTCCATATTTTCCTACTCATTGTTACTTTGCTATCTTCCATTGTTAATCAGGAGGTACTGGCCACCTAATTATGTGTAAGCTTGACATGTCTGTTTTTACAGACTACATGATATTCTACAATAGAAGAAAAATAGACAAGCTATGCTTTCAGTGAATGCTAAACTATGTGTTTAGTTTTAATAACAAAAAACCCTTTTGCTCTGTTGGAAACTGCTATCGGTATTTGAAACAAACCCACATGTTATGTTTCTGATAACAAGGTTAATAAATGGCTTTCTGTAAACTAGAGACTGAATTTCATCAGTGATGCCAGCTAAAAATACCATAGGAACAATTTTTGTAACAACTACAATATCCAGACAAAATTATTGAAATATAGTATTTATTTTGCCTTAGATTTACAACAGCAGTCTGGTAGAAGACAGCAATGGATGCTACCTTTAAGTATTGAGATATCTTTCATGAAGGGAAAACAGAAAAAAAAAATCCCCAGAAGCAGAAAGCCAAATGATCAGTTCAAAAGGTCATGACCAACAAAAGAGACCAACACACGAAATGAAGGAGGATGTAGACTAAGTATTAATTCACAAGAGTACCATGCAGAAATACCACCCCATCCTGGCACACATGGACGATTTCCTGCACACTTCATCATCCAAGGGCCTGGCAGACCAACAGCAGACTTACCAAAACCTCTGTAGAACTGCATGCCCAACTATGTTCTGATGAATATTAAAACATAAGAATTTAACCTCTGCTTCTTTAAAGTAAAATCTAAGATGTCAGGCTTCTTTTTCCTAACCTCTGTTGATCAGCTATAAGAACAGTACTATTTCTGAACAGAGCTGGTTTCAATGTACTCTTAGTCACTTGAATTTCCTGTCTGATGCTAACAAGACGTGACCGCTCACACTCTATGTTGGTGAACAGACTTTTCCCCCTGACCTCAAAAGGGTGTCACATCTGCAGCAAAGATGAAAATGAAACCAGCTATCAGATGTTTATACAGACAGAACTGCCTCGCACAAAAGTATCTGGTCAGGTTCCTTTCAGCCCTCTTCAGTATGCGCAATGTTTTAAACATTGTAAATGTTTTAAACACAAAAAGGGAAGGTACTCAAGTATAACAGACACAACATTGTTCATCTGGCCAGGTGAGAGAAGCCCCAACACAGTCCTGTTGAAACAGAGGATTCTGGAGAGAAAAAAAAATATATACTGTTTATTAAGAATCTTATGCAATATTCTTAAGCAAAAGAGAATCACTTCTTCTGTTCTAAAAACTAAGTAACAACAAAAGAAGGATCCTACACTGGAAATGAAAACATGTCCGTCTGTTTTTGGAGATGTTAATGGGCCCTGAAAAACATTACAGGTTTTTGTCTGCAAGTACAGAAAATGGGTATACAACATGTATTTGGTTTGTTGTTAAAACAAACTCAAAACTTCTAGCGCACTATAAAAGAATCTCCTCCAAGAAACCACAGTGACAGTCCCTTTGAATTTGGAGAAAACTCTGAATGTCTTTGTACCCTAAGAAATTCCAACATCCTTTTACAGGAAAGCAAAGATAGAGTTATCCTTCAGTCTTTAATCTTAAAAATGGTTTGGCATCTCTTGCTCATTAACAAATCTCGTACTAAAACTAAAAGGTTTCTGGAGATTCTTTTGGGTTTTTTTTAAAATGTTTGTTTAAAACAACAAGACCTCACTCATCACAGAAAGGAATGGGGAGATTCTGATTCAACAGACAGCAGTCAGTACTCAGCAAGTACCTGGAACTTGTACTTCCAAGGAACTTCCAAGACTTGGAAGTTTGTTTTCCCATAGCCCTTCTTGTCTTCTTTACAAAGGTTACATAGGGCTCTTGAACCTGAAGGACACGGCAAACAAACCTAACACCAGCAAGAAGTGTATACGATGAAGAGACTGTCTCTCTACAAATGCACTGGGATTCTCTGGCTATGCTTTCAAGACCTCATTTGGTGACAACACAAAATTAAGTTTTTTCTGCCTCCTTCTGCCTCCCATTTAGGCTATTTGTTTCTGTCTCTTCCAGAAATGTCAAAAACATTAAAAAATATCAAGTGCTTATGGCATGCATTTTATAAAAGAGATCAGCAAACACCCAGTAGAAACCTAGGAATCGAGGGGAGAGAACAAGTAACCTAAAATGACAGACTTCTGCAAGGGGTTTTGTGGAACAATCCCTCTTTAAGGTGAAACTACAGTCTGCGCATCCCTGCATCTGACATAAAACAATGCTTATCTGTTTGCTGGCTGGCTGCAGTCATGCAGACAGGGAACACTAAAGCAAACATTGTGCTCAGTCACATGTAATATCCACAGCAAACGAAGGGCTTTTCTCATGAAACAACAATGGTGCGCGGTAACAACAGGACGAGGAACATGATATGTTTTAGTAAGTAAATAGAATCAATTGTTAAATACTACATACATGCATGTGTATATTTACATACATACACACATATGTATCTATGCATGTGTGTAATTGGCAACAATAATTAGCAGCAGACCATCACCACACTGACCTGCAAGGAGCAGGGCAGCAAGATAACTTCAGTAGTGTTTGGATGAGCAAAGCTGCGTGTGAATTTTGCAGACAACATTTGTTGAAGTCACTTTTTTTTTTGTATGCTATGAAATAAATTTGAACTAGACTAACATCTCCTATTTTTCTTTGTTTTAAAGATCTGAGATTCTCAAACTAATTATAAAACCTCTTCACTCATTTATAAAATTATTAATGGTATCAGCAGTTTTTTTCTTCAAAAACAGTGTTTTCTTACTTTATTAAAACTATCTAGTTAGCTACTATCCAGATTTGTTGGAAATTACTTTAGATAAAGTGGAAAACTATGCTAAAAAACCTGATGAGTTATTATGACAAATCAAATCCACCATAAGGATAACAAAAGAGATCTCTGGAACACTTATTTCTATTTTCATAATATAAGGCAATAACAATGAAGTCTTGCCCTTATTGCAGGGAAAAAAAAAAACACAGATTTTCTTCGTAGAAATAAATTAACAATAATTTTTTTTAAACTGAGATAAGCAGTAGAAAATGCTTGATAAATACCTGCCTAATAAAAAGACACTGTACTTTTAAGCACAGGCTTTTGCTAAAACGGACCCTACAATATTCTTAGACCAAGACATAAGTAAGGCAGAGTTATTAGAGCACAGATCTATAATTTAAGCTAAGATCTGTTACCGAAATAATCTTTAGAAAAGGTTAGAAAAAACACAGTTTAAGAATACCATTACACATAAAGTGTTCAGATACACGCACAATTTTAATTCTGATTTTTGTACTAACACTACACAATAACATACGATGCTTATTGGCATTTGCATGGCCAAATCGCTGTCATTTCAGCAGCATATTAGGGTGTGTTCGCCCCACTCACATACCACTAGCCCAGGTAGCTATAAGCTTAGTTCTCACACATCTCCTTTTGATTTTTCTAAGGGCAGCTCTGGAAACTAGCTTCCATCTGGCCAGTCAAGCTATCAAAGCGCTACTATAATACCTCATCTGAAGAATGGTCTCTAACTGTATCCCATTAACAACACTGCTGAGATTATTATTACATCTGAACTTCATTGCTGATGTTTGACTTGATTGCATATTCTCTGGATAAGTACTTGTAGTGTTACTAAGAGAACATGAAGATGAATAAATTGATTTAAAAAAAAAAATCATTGCACTTGAGCCTCCCTCCTTCCCTTCAAAAAAATCAAACAAAAAAACTATATAAATTCAAGCACACCTACTATTGCAATTTGACATTTGAAAGGAACTACAGCCACCCCTCCCACTTCAGGGTAATATTCAAAAACCTGAGCTTATTTAAAAGCCACAATATTATTTTTTTTAATGGATAAATATTTTCTTTACAATATGGAATTGACAAATGTTTGCTTGGTTTTGGAGCATTTTGGGTTTCTTACTTTTGAACTTATAGAGCAGCCAGGAACAGGAAATAGTCTTATTATCCCACCGAAGAGAGCTCTGATCCCTAATCCCCACCACCAGGCTGCACAAAAATCACTGCCACTACATAATGACTTGGCATCTATTCACTCATTTTTATATTAAGTGATTCTGCTATCTTTCACTGCTGCTGTTGCAAAAAAAAAAAAAAAAAAAAAAAAAAAAGACATGGTAAGCCTGCTGGAGGACCTATAAAACCTTATTAAACCACTTATGCCTCCGCTCTTTAACATGTTATGTTTGCAGCTCCTGCATGAGTAAATACTGTATATCACACACTGCCAACACATACTCAAACAGAAAGGCAGCTCCGCCGTCTTAATCCCACCAGGTACCACACCAGAGTCAAGAGGCACCAGTGAAGAGAAAGAAGGGGAAAGAGGCACAGGCAGTAGTTTGCCCACGGGAAGCCCCAGTCCCCGCGGAGCAGCGAGCAGAGTGGAGGCAACGCGGCAGCGCAGAGGAGCCAAAGCTGCCATGTGCTGCGGGCTCCATCACCGGCCCGAGACACGGAGCTTGTGCTCGTGTAGCAAGGCCACACAGGACTCAGAACATTCTGTACACTTTCATCTCACATTTTAGAATTAGTCTTTAAATTACAGTGCCTGATGTGTCGATATTTATTAACTTTTCCACAATTTGAACAGCACTATTAACAACCTCAGAGCAGATGGAAGTTGCATGTTTTTTTTTTTTTTTTTTTTTTTTTTTTTTTTGGAAGACACTCTACAAACTCAAATAGAAGACAAAAAGACTTGGCATTCTTTTCATTCATAAGAAATACTTGCTTCTAGAATTCTCTATGAGGGAAAAGCAGCATCTGCGCTGGCATCATTAAAAAAGGAGAAAAAAAAGCTGATTTCTCAAAATGTATGGCTTTTTAATAAAGCTTTGAAAAGAAAATTGAAATGTATTTGGCTTTTTAATACTTTTGAGGACTTTTAAGCATGACTTTAAACTAAAGAACATTAATAAGCAAAAAAAAAAAGAGAGAGAGAAATGGCATTTTATCATGTCTCCCTGCGCTTTTGACCTGCCAAACAGAAAGGAGGACACTGTGGTACAACTCAAAACATCCTTTCAAACACCTTTTATCCATATCTTTTGAGAGTGTGCTCATCTTCCCTAGAAACTAAACACGTTTGTTTTTTAAAAAGCAGTATAAAATGCTAATGCTTCAGAAGTCAGAATTTTTAATAATGGACATAAAGCTTTGAAACAGTCAATTACTCTCCAGCTACCCTTCAACGTAGTTTTCACGTGCTCCCCGTTCTATACATGTACAATTACATATGAATATGCATCGTTCACTTAGCTCGTATCAACAAATATTTGCAGTTACAGAAGTTGTCTTCATTACAAAATAAAAGCTTATGTAGAATGAAATCTGAGTTGAATATGGCAATATATGAATCAAAAGATTTATTTTCTACTATATTGCTCTGCCAGTCCAAAAGAAAGAAAATATAGCACTTACCACTGTGTTACTTTTTCCTCCCTGCTGCTTCTTCCCTGAGCTTTCAAACCCAACATTCTGTTTAAGAAAAAGGCAAAAATATTCAGTTAGTCCCACCCCAACCGAATAAAGAATATGGGGGAGAAAAGAGCAATATCACTCTGCACCCTGCTTCAGTTTTCATTTTATAGCATTCTGTCTATTTTGCTTCCATTCACTGTATTTATTAAGGCTCATTTATATCAATTTTATTTATAGCAATTTTAAAGTTATATGCAGCAATTAAGGAAAAAATCCACGTCAGGAATTAACAAAACATTACAAGAGCACACTTCACCCATAAACTTATCACTTGAAGAATTACTTAGAAAGTCACAACGCATGTTTAACAAAGCTTATCAAATAATGCTACCTTTACTGAATTAAAGCAATCTAACAAGAACAAGAACAAACACCATTCAACACATCTCAACCAGACACACTCAGAATTATCAGCTGGGCCTGTAAGAAAGGATAAATTCTCTCTACAACAACAGCACTAACAACAAGTAGCAGCACATGTCTTCAGAGGATCAAATATCATTATGTTCAGACAGATCATCTAGCTGAGCAATCATTTAGTCACATACAACAGCCAGAGCAAAGTAGATGGAACTTAATTTGCCAAATCTGTAGTACCTACACAAAAAATATAGCTGGTTGGAGTGCAAGTAGTAATTTCACTAGAAAAAAAAATATATATCCATGAATACAATAAAATTAATTTCAAATAAAGAGCTTTCAAAAACATAATTGTCTATAATAAAAAGAATTAAGTGTCTTCATAATAACTTTGAGACAGTCTTCAAAACTGTCCAAGAAGCAGTGGAAGTGACTTGGTTTGGGGTAAGGAGCAAGAGAGAGCACCATCACAGAAAGACAAACTCCTTTGGCAGGAAGGATTAACTATAGGATGGCGCTGGGACCAACTTTGACCTGTTGCACGTTTGCTCCTCGTTTTAGCAGCTAGTGGTGTTAATTCATACATTCACACCAAATAGATTCCAATGCCCTCAACTGGATAAACATTCAGGTACTTTCAAGAGCAGGACAAACAGGGTATGCAAGTGACAGGGGAAAAAGCAGCAATGAAAGTCTCAAGTCTTTCAGGTTTCTTGCTGAAAAGATTCTATCATTTATTTCAGCCCAGAAATACAAAACATGAGCAACAGTCAAGACAATTAAATACATAAGACAGGCAGCAAGGATCACACCTAAGTCTGAAACCTGGGATCTTAGGAACAATCTATGTCAAATTGCCACGAGTACATACTTTGCTACTACTGAAAAATTACTTAATCCTTACAAATCTATTTAGTGACTTTGTACACAAGATCACAAAAAGAACTGCAGGCTTGCAATGACTCTGCTAGGATAAACAAAATTAATCCAGAGAATACTGTAGCGCAGGGCCTGATGCAGCAGCAAGACAGGCAGAGGATTTTGCCTCTGGAAAGAATCAAGACTTTGCAGGCAAAGCCTTCTTGCTAGAAAAACGATCAAAGAAACAGGCAGCCCTATAATGATCAAAAAAAGCAGTAAACCAAAGAGATTTTTCTTGCATCATTTCCTGACACCTGTTAAGCCTGCTCTGTTGAAATGCCCAGGAGAATAAACTTCAGCAGTAGGAACCATTACAAAATTATGAAATGTTTATAGACTTCAAAACCAAACAGAAAAAAAATCATTTGGTTTCAACTGTCCAGAGAAGATAATACAGCAACTGGGATGCTATCTTCAAGTCAAGCCTGTATTTCACAGTGCACAAAGAGATGATACAGAAGTTCTAGCTTGCCTTGAACTAGCCGTGTGCAGATCAAGAGTAGAATTTAAATCACTTGGTAACTGCTGAGTTCTATTAACCTTCATTCTTCAAAATTCATTAAAAATGCCCCTACATTTACAGTTTTTATATTTTTATATTATGAAAACTTCTGGTTTAAAAAATGAGTAATTAAGAGATGCATCAAAAACACTAAAACAGAACACATCTGGGATAACTGGAACACTGGCTTTCTTGGAATTTTGCTTCAACTTCATTCTGGAGTCATAATCTCAGTCTTGGATGGATTTCTGAACTACCATAATGAAAAGTGGAATATGCAGCCTTGCATAATTGACAGTTTTTGCATAAAAAATGTTCAAGTAAAGCTACAGGGTACAAGGAATTGCATCTTGTCTAGAAACGTGAAGTTTGTGTAATGAGGATAATTCAGTACTAAATTTCAACAATAAAAGGCTACTAGTATTTCTAGGATTAGTTAATTCTTAGCATTTACAGCAAACACAATCTTTCTGTGTGTTATGCAACCAAAAATCGTGGCTCTGTATGAACATTTTTTATGTTAGTCAGGCCACCAGCTGCTTCTTAAGCAATTACCTTACATGTGCACCCTATGACTGTACACATTAAAAATTAAAAATTACTCAAATTTAAATTTCCAAATGAAGGAAGCTGAGTAGGGTACTTTTATTTGCATTTAAGTGTGAGGTGTGGAAATACGGGAAAAATTACCAGATAAGACACATCACATCAGCACATATACCTGTACTGGAATTACAAATGCACTGTAAGTAAAATGCATTAGGTACTAGCTTCCCCACAAAGGGTCTTTTTTGTATCTTGCAACATGATCTCAACTAGCTCAGAAGAAAGGTCACTTTCCAATTTATTTTGCAGATATAGTAACAGGTACTTTAGATTATTAGTGATGAAGTACCTTCAAGCTAAAAATACCTAACTAAATCTTATTTAACCCTGCCTTAGCGCATGGCTTGAATCACATTTGACTGGGCAGAACTCAAAACCTCTTGACTTCTCCAACCAGAAAGGCCTGGCTTACGAACCTCAGCAAGCTTGCTAAAGGTAGCAGGAGAGTATTTGGGGGAGTAATCATGTGTCATCATCTTGTCCTTACTCTTCTTTGGTGCAGCCCAAATGCTGTTAGAAGCAGGACACCTGCCCAGGGCACAGGTATATCTGCTGGTCTGCACCAGTGTCACCGCTCTTACTATTTCACTGCGTCCCATAAGCTGCCCACATCTTCAAGTGGCTCATTTCCAGCTTGCCACTTGCTTTTACACTGCTGAAGCCTACAGTTGACTCAACATGTTTCTTAGGAAAATTTTCACCTAGATGTGTTTCACCCCAAATGCTTGTCATTCTCTGACCTCTCACAGAAAACTTTGAAGGGACATTGAGCACTCAGAACACTAGTGGCAAACTTGCACACAACAGATCAGGGAATATGAAGATATTTCAGTATGCTAAATGACAAGGAATAACAACACGGCACTTTTCTCCATTTCTAATTAAAGAAAAGGGGGAAGGAGGGTAAGTAGGGTCATGTCAATTATCCTGTTAATTTAAGGAAGAGTTAGAAAAAAAATCTTAAAAATTGCTGGTTTGGCAGTCATTTCAGTCAGTCTGCAGCACTTGACCTGCAGCACTCTCCTCTTCTGGTAGTCAGAATAATTTATTATTTAATTAAATAATTCTAGGTAAATATTCCAGGACCGGAATTACCTCTGCTTACCTAATACATCCACTCATATTCAATGACAAAGACAGTATGTCTGCCTAGCAAGATTTCAGAGATCTGCTGAAGCGCACCAGGCACTGCAACACTGCAAACTACTGCACAGAAACACACACATGAATTTTTAGACCAGGAAAAATGCAAAGTTCCAAAGACCTAGGAAGTATAGCAGAATGTGCAATTAGTATCACGATCCTCAATAAATCAAGTGTTGTATGAGAATGCCTATAACCAAGTAATACTAACAAAAAGTGACAAATTCCATACTAACATACTACTCATGGCAATCTCTCCCAGAGAAAAAATACACTTCTAGGATTTGCGTGAATTATCACCTGAAATACCACAGAAGTATAAATTTTTAAACTTTGGTGATTTATGCACTGCATCAAGTCAGATTAAAACTGGCAGAATATTAAGTGTCAGGAAAATATATGCAGAGACATAGGTAATCATTTCATGTACTACAGTCAAAGTTCTGTTGTTAACACTTACTGGCAAGATGAAGAGAAACTTTTGACATACAGCGAGTTAGTGTTAAGAGGGAAAAAAAGAGATCTTTAGTGAGGAAACACAGGACAAATATCTGCCCCTCCCTTGCCCCCCCCAAAAAAACCCCTACAAATTCATACTTGAATACAGAAGGGTTTGTAGATTGGCATAGTTAATATCAGATTCCCAAATTTGGGTGGTGCAGAGAAGAAGGAGGAGGAAGAAGGAGCGGGGAGATGGGAAGGTTTCAGAGACCATTATGAACAAAGAGCACATCATGTTCTTTCTGGAAGCAGGTGTCACTGTCCCTTACTGTTTCTTGTTACTTTAAGTGTTGAATCAAGGCCAGACATTTAGAATATTTAGAGTACAGAAACAATCTGTGCTGAGCAGGTTGTCTGACCGAGGACTTTGGGCACAAGCTCCAGGAGCTGCACTGTCCTCCTGGTCTTGGTTGGGAGAATCTAAGACATCTACTTTGCCTTAAGCAATAAGTGACTGACCTACTTCAAGCTGTGAGTCATCCTCATTCCATGGATCTGCTTACAGACAGAATCCTTCAGTGCAGGAAGCAGGCAGTTAATGGAGCTTTCTCCACAAGTACCCCTAGATTCACATTTGCTTCCAGCATGGCCTAAAATAACCTGCATTTAGCAATGCTGTTCATAGACTACTGGGGGCATCCATTTGAGAAGTGTTCTGCCAAGGAATGTGGTACTCTTCTCAAGAGTAACAGGATGGAAAGGAACTTCTGTAGGACACTGCCTGGCTGAATTGCTATATGAATTATTATTTTAGAGGTTGACTGTTTTGCCAGGGCATCTAGAGTTCTGGGAAAGGTATTAATTATCTTAATACCAAATGAAATGCATGGTGCACAGCATAATGAAATTTTACTCAATACTCAGTACTATAACAGCACTCCTGGGCAACATGGTTAAGAAAATAATGCACATTCATATCTTCACATTTGCAATGGACCTAGTGAATTTCTTTTTTGTAAACTGT